CTGAAGTAGAAATCTTCGAAGTGGGGGGGAAATGGAAATGGGTAACCGATTAAGATATAAGCCGGATAAAGACATTCGGAAAAAAGAAAAAATAGACTTAAATTTAATAACAGAATTTTTTAGCATTGTCCAGTTTTACTCATAGTTCTTTATTGAATTATAAAAATTATATCCTTGGATTTAATGTGGTTTTCTATCTTATTTACCTATAACTTTTTTACATTTTTACATTTTTTTTTTCAAATAATACAAGTAAAATTATGCCACCGCTCTGTTGGTAAAAGGAACCTGGTATTTTCTGCTATTTTTTGGCCACGAACATGCTTATGCCGTGTCATGCATTTAATTGAATTACAAGTTCAAGCTGCCAATGTCAGTAGAACACGTCACATGCTTGATTAATTGCGCTACCTTCTTACCTCTGCTAGCAATAACAATTTCAGTTGTAAGTACAATTAAAAGCCAACTTCAACTCTCATAATCGACACCCTCGGTGTTCTCCACAAGAGAGACGAAAGTTAGAAGGAAGGAAAGTAGGTAAATGTCTAGGAACAAGCTAAATATTTCTTAAAACGATAAATTTATTGTTCGTTTCTCTCTCTCTATCAACTTTCTCTGAACAACTGATTTACTGGCCCACGCGACGCGCTTTAAGTCTAGCAATAATTAAGCCATCAAAAAAATAGCAGAAATTGGATAGTTCCGAGATGTGGAGCAAATCGTAAGGGAAAGGTAGATTGGGGTATATTAAGTAAGCGAAAAAAAAAGGAAATTACAAGCATAATTACAAACATAGGCGAATAAGTAGTACAGGCTAGGGAGAAATAAAAAGAGCCAGGCAGAGGCATAGAGCGCATGGTAAAGTAAGACATTCACGTGCAAAAACAAGAGTCGACACGCACACTCACGTGGTTTGTTGTGCTTGATAGTGAACAACGTTACACATGCACACAGGAAAGTACACCGAGTGTCAGGCATTAAAATATAAACAACGAAGCTAAACGAAAAGCAGTATGAGTATAAGCAGATGGTGCAGACAAATGCCGGAGAAAAGCTAACGTGACGCCACTGCCCTGCCTTCACCAATCTCCTCGTGGTCATTTACTCTCTCGCCCAATGCAAAAATGTACCCAACATCAAAACAAAAGCGAAAGTTTTGCGAGCAAATTCCGGTGTGTTATTCACAACACACATTTATGTTTGCATGTGTGTATTGAACTTTTATCTTTATTTTCATATGGCGAAAATTAGTTCATATACGCTGACAAAAAGAAGTCTAAGCAACTAGATATTTTCCGTTGTTATTAGTGCTGACATAGAGCAGACAGCAACAGAAAAACGAATTAATTTGGTGATCCGCCTCATTGGGCAACACGTGATAGAAAAGCTGGGTTGGGTTTGGTTAAGGCTGTCATAAAAATCAACAGCAAGAACATCACTAAAACAAACCGCATCAGGGACATGACTAGAATGAAAAATCCATAAAATGATTATCACAAAAATGTGCTTAACATGCAACATTGGTATGGGAAGTACATAGTACATTGTGTTTGCTTTTTTTTACAATACAACGACGCGAGTGTATCTATATCAGTGGCAGGTAGTGTCCATGTCAAGATGGTGCCCATTAAAAATACTGTGAAGGACATCTGGCTATCACTTTCCAGTGCCTGTGTACCTTGTCCTTCTGGTGAAAGAAAGAAGATATATAAATAAAATCTTAAAAAAGACACGAAGAGGCAGAGTCAGAGGCAGACCGCGGAGCCATGTTAAGCTGGGCAGGTAACTAAATTATCAGGCTAAATGCCAGAAAAGTATAAACTTCTCAACTTCTCAGTCCCTGATTCTGTCTCGAAGCTGCCACTTGCCTTTCGGTCCTTTCGGGCCTATTAGCCCTAATGGGGCTTTTGCATGTTTCACTACAACTCGCGCTTGCTGGCTGCTGAATACTTCTTTAATGCCCTTTGGTCTGGACACTTTTTGCACGTCTCTGCAGTTTTCAATTATTTATAGTTTGTGGATTAAAACTGCCTAAATATTGCCCAGAGCGCCACGTTTAGTCAGAGCTCTGGCTGGGACAGACGCCACGGCATATGAGTCAATCTCCTGTCCAGACCCCGGCTCTGACTCTGACTCCAATTGCAGCTACGACCACGACTCCTTCCTCCTGTCTGCATTTGTGAAACAGCTTAGCACACATCCACCATTTTTTTGAACATTAACCGTGATGACTATATTACAAAGTAAATATTGGTAAAATATGACTCTCATTTCTGTTTAGGGAAAGATTAAGAAATTAATTAATAATACGAGCTGTGAAACACATTTACCTCAGTATAAAAAGCTGAGGTACTTAAAGTGGAAGTTAGAATATCAATAGCTTTGAATATTAATTGGCAATTCATTAGAAATTATCCAAACTTTTAGTAGATTTCCTGTCTTTTGTAGATATGGCAAAATCCGCTATCAATAAATTTTACTCGTATAAAAGTGTTGAGGGAATGCAGACTAGAGTAGAATGCAGAGTCCTGTAAAACGAACATCAGCCAAAATATTTATGAGCACAGAAACCGCATAAATAAAATGCATCCACAAATAGCTCCATCCATGCGCCAACGTACTTGTCATCCTGGCCGGAGTCTGATGTTGCTGATACTGATGCAGCGTTGCTCCTGTTCCCGCCAATTGTGATGGTGCCACCAAAGTCGTGCATCATGATTTTATGCTGCTTCGATTTCGTGGAATTAACAATGAGGCCACAACTTTGACAGCTTCAGCTTCTTCTTTTCCTTCTCCCTCTCCTCTTCCACCCGATGTTTTTTAGACAGAAGAGAATTTTTAATATCACCTGGGGAGGTCAGGTATGGGTGTATCAGATGTAGGCGCAAGTCAAATGTGGCCTACGTTCCAGCTTTGTCATGTTAAGGAGCAAGTGAACACTAGAAACAAGACCAGAGCATTGAAAATTATTATTATTATTATTAATTTCAGTACTGAAATATACAATTTATTTTCATTAATTCAAGACGTAGCGAAATTAAAAGACCTTTGCTTAAATGCATTTTCTAAACTTGCAAGTAGAATTGCAGCTCCAGTTGCAGTTTTGGGTAGAGTTGGCAAACAAAAAGTAATGAAATAACGTATTTCAAGAATTAATTACAACTAATAGCATTTGGAAATCAATTCACCTGAAAGACCCTCACCAATGAGCCGCAGCTGGAGGGCAGAGGGATCCATTCAGCCAGATGCATGCGTTCAAGCATCAATGCCTTCGCTTAAACCTGGTGTGTGTTTGTGTGGGCTCTCCGATTGGTTTGTCGTAGATATCCTTTGCATATGTGACGATTTGCATAATTGATTGTAATACCTTGGCAAGCCGATTTCGGTTTGAATAAGCACAAGTCCAAGTAGAACAGAGAGCACAGCAGCCTTTCGAAGTATTGCTCTTATCTTTGGCCAATTAGCCAGGTAATGCTCTTAGTGATGCTAGGAACGCGAATGGGTAGTGGTAGTGCTTTCGGCTGTAATTTGCGATATGGGAGCATCGGGAAAATGTTACGTAACTCGGAAAGAACTTAGCACACGAGCGAAAAGCACATGTGCAAACTATAAGAAATCGTATAATAAAAAATTACGATAAAACTAATAAAGAAATAACTATAAAAGATGAACCAACCAAATGAATGCAACAGCAATTAACGTATCTATATAAGTATATGTAGCTGCAGCTGTGGAAGCTGTACCCTCTACCTGTATCTGTGTGTGTGTGGACCTTCTTTTTGCTCCATCTACATCCTGCCAGCATGTGTGTATCGGTTTAGCTAGACAAATAGGCTTAGCCGCTTGGGCTTAAAAGTTGATCCAAAACTTTTCACCTTAAAAGCCGCCCACAGCCAAAAAGCATAGCCATGCTACAGAAGGGTGTTCTGTGGGTGTCTGGTCTGTCTGTGATTGCCCACTCTTGGTACCCCATCATATCCTATAACTCTCGTCAGAGTGCTGCTTAAGCTGCCAGAATTGAAACAAAAAGTTAAAAAATAAAAACAGTCACACCCACACGAAAAAAAAGGGACACACCCATATTTACAGTTGGCTTAAGTCAACAACAGTCGAAATTTGAAATTGTAAATGTTGGCACTCTGTTCTGCAGTGAGCGCTGCCCCCTGGGAATAGTACAGCCAAAGATAGAGGAGACTTTCGCTAGGTGTGGGGATGGATAGAGGGGTGTCCAATTGTCGGGGACCTTTCCATTTGCCGCTATGTTTAACCAAAGTGCTCCTGTGCAAATAACAAAAGGCTTCGGTCTCCTTTTAAAAGTCGCCCTCGTCTTGGTTCCTAGGTCCTGCGTCGTGGTCGTCGCCAAAAGCGGATTAAAATCATAAGCGAAAAATAATGAATTATTTACCGCATTTATTTACAGCAGCTTAGTTAGGCGAGAGGACCCCACTGACGAGCCCCAAAACCAATGTGTGGCAGTCTGTGCCAACCTGACTTTAGTTTCCACTTTGCCGTTTCCCTTCCGCTTAAGTCAAAAGTTTCTCCAACGATTTTCAGGGGTGCTGGCATACTGGAAGGAGCCGATTAATTGAGGGGATGGTTCGGCATCAACCTCTGCACCTGCCACCTGGTAATTAATTAGGCCAGTCATTTGTCAATATTATCTGCGACGGTTGTATATGGCATTACATTTCATAGACGTGTGCGGGCTGTACACCTCAAGGCATTCCCCATATTATTTATTTATTATTTTGATTTGTATCAAGGTACTTATGGTGGATATTCGCATGGAGAAACTAATCTTAGAAACTCGAATCTTAGGAACACATTATTCTATTCTTGTCGCTATATAAATGGAAGGGATTAAACATAAATATCTACAGCGGGTTATAATTTAACGTCATGAATGCATTATTGTTAATTTGGGTCTGCTTATGGACTCATTCTCTTAGATTGAGGAATAATATCTGCTATTAGATATCTAGCAATATAGTAACTTAAATCAATATAGTCTATCATTTTAAATTCAACAAAATTTTTAACAATATCTCATTGACTTTTTCACATTCAGATACTTTCAGTTGTTTTCATATGTTTCTCCAATAAATTCAAGAGTAAGTATTGAAACTCGCATTAATTATATAATTTGATTATTAAAATGGTAACTTGTAGGTCTATACACGTCGTAGCCTCCAGCTTATTCAACTATAAGAACGGAATAGTCCGTCCGCAGAAACAGAAGTCAAAAGTAAGTAATTACTTGATTTTAAATGCAATTCTATAATTTTGCTAATAAGTGATAAGCCACAGGCCCATTTATAGCCATGACCAAACTATTACCAATTCTGTTTGCCTGCTACATGCACCTGTTTTCGAGTTTCTCGCTCTTAATCTTTGATGGGGAGGCTTATGAAGTACAATCTTACTGGGGCAGCCTTATCTTCTTTCTGTCAATGATGGATGTGCTGCACGGCAACAATCTACTACCCAAGAAATCGTACCGTAAGAGTAGGTTGCTCAAGATAATTATAGAGACAGTCTTTGTCTTTCTCATTAGTGAGATTACTATGGCGTTTTTCTGGACCAAACTGGAAAGTACTCTTGACATGATTCTTCGTCTCATCACTGAGACAGATGCCACTCGCTTATTTCTTTTGGAGGCGATCACCGTGGGACTCAGTCTGTTCAACTGGGCGATGGTCTCCCAGCCACCCATCCGGACGGGCTGTATAACTTCCTGTCCCGTACTTCCTGCACGTTTTTTGTGTGGTTCAAGGAATTGGTCGGAAGTTGCTGCAATCTGATGAAATCTCGTGAGCAACCCAAAGTTCGTCGCACTGAAATTAAAGGAATATTGAAGAATTCGAAAAACAAACGCTAGCTAAATTGACTGGAAGTGAAAATCTCTTGTGGGAAGCCTTAATAATGTTTACATCGTAGTTTGTCTACTTAACAAAATATTCTTTAATTTGATACATATATGTACATAAATATATATTTATGGATGTGTGTGTCTGTGCGGTATGTGTTCTATTTATCACTCTGTATGTAGCTGTTGCATTTCCCATAAGCATATCCCACATAATTTTGAATTCATTGCAAGGCCAAATAGTGTCTCGCCCTCTAATTCTTGCCATCTCTCTCGCTCTGCAACGAATGTTTTCTATCTCTATTTGTTTCTTGTTCTGTGGTACGCAAAGAGTATGCACAGGGTTTACTCGAGAATCGGTCAGAGCTGGTCTCGTTCCGAATGAAATGCATATAAATAAAAGTTGTATGGACCCTCTGCTTAGAGGTACAATGAAAAGACACTTCCACTGCATTCCGTCCACTCTATGCGAATGTTTATTTTGGCCCAAGCAAATTAAGTAACCATGATGGTTCGGCAGAGAATTATTGCAAAAATGCTGGGCAAGCAGACCAGATGCAGAAACGACTTTATGCAAGAGCATTTGTAAGCGCAGCTGTTGCAGTGGCAGGCGCCTTATCCGGGGTGGTGGTGTTGCTTCAGCAGCAGCTGTTGCTGGCGACGAAGACTAAAAGCGTCGCTTGGCATAAATCCCGCCCAGGAGCAGGAGCGAGCCATCCTTCCACCCGCACCTAAGCGCATTTGTATTAAATCGAACGTGTTTGTTCCCAGCCGTCGTCTTTGCCTTTTCCAAGAATGTTACACTGCAAAAATAGATAAAAAATCCTAATCCTAGGTCTTAAAAGGAAATAGTGTATTGACTCGTGATCTGTCAGAACTAAATACTCATTTGCAGTTATTTTAGAGCTGGGTTTTCCTCTCAGTGTGAAGACTCCTGCTGCTACTGCTCCTGCTTCCTCCTTTTCATTCTGGGACGGGAGTACACAACTGTTTTATTTATTGACTTCACGTAGTGCATATCCTTATAATTTTTGTATGTGAGCTCTACATATGTCTGAGCACCAAAGGGACGGAAAGATTCCGTCCGTCTGTGTTCTTTTTTGCACTCGACTGCACGTCCAAATATCTACAACAGTTTCTTCGTCAAATGGCAAGGCATTGAAGGCCCCTACTTGCCCTCTTCCCCCTGTTTCAGTCTCTTTCTGGGTATGCAATCAACTGAAATTGAAACCTGCAACAAATGGCCATGTTTGACTTTTTGCAGCATGGCCGGGTCCAGTTACCTTTCCGTTCTGTTCCATACTCTCATGGTTAGTCGTTCATTTGTTGTACATTTTAACGGCTCTCGAGCAAATAAACGATTTTTGCATTTTAGATTTTTAAGCGGCATCCGGTGGCAGCCCCGCTACCTATATGGTATTTAAGAAGATTGCATATCGATTGTGTACTCTCTCACCGGGTCTGCCAGCTTGATTTTCATTTCCTGCCTAAGATTACGTTGCTCATTGTTAGCTCTTAGACTGAATATGGGATGCCCATTGCAGTCTGGGGGGGGACTAAGTTCGGATACAATTAGTCACGCCTTTACGATACCACTGGGAGTGTAATATGGACTCTTAACCTCATGGAATTCAACGGCAACTATTTAATTAACTATTTCCTCGGCTCTTGCAGATGCAGAAATAGTTTCCTTGCTTTGCTTGGCTGCTGAAACTACTTTCCCCTCAAAGGGGGAGAATTTTTATAAAAATGGTTCAAGATGCAGAGACTGCAACATGTGCCTGCTGGGAGGATGAATATATCATATTTCCTGTCAGATCTGAGAGCGGGGACAAAGACAAATTAAATATGCACAACTTGGCAAGAGGCCGGAAAAATAACTTAGCCAGGTACGTTAGCATGGCATTACGAGTTGCCTTTGCACCAGGACCTTCTCTTAGCAGACCCGATCTCCGCAATGGGAACAAGTCCTCCAGTTACCATTTTTCCGCATACTGCTCTTTTGGCCGCACGAAAGGATAATTCAATATTCGCGTCGCCTAACTTACGTAAATTGTTGAATCATCCAATAAATAAAATGCAATGAATGTGCAAAACTTAACTGAAAGAAAAGTGTAGGACCTTGCTGCAGATCCCACCTCTCTTTTTGTTGTTGCTCGCCATTCTCCGAGCGCAGTAAATAAATTAATTTCAGCTGCACAACGTCATCGTCTTCGTCTTTGTCATTATTTTTTATTATTATTATTATTATATCCCTCATATGCAGTTTCATGGCACGCATTTTTGTAGCGGCATCCTGTACGGACCCTGGTACTGCACTTTGAAAATACTCGTACTCGAACTATCGAATACCCTCCTATCCGATGGATTAAAGTGAAAAACCCAATTGGGTTGCACTAGCTCCAATATTCGCCCCAATCCAAGGGCTCCATCCGACAAGCAGATGGACTCGGCTGATGTTCCACCTATTATACACCACACCAACTCCACCATGTATCCCTGTACATAATAATAAAGCAAACAAAATGCAAGGGATCAACAATAACCAATAAGCCGGGGCTGGGCGGAGCAAAGTGCATTGTCGAAAGGTGCCACAACATTGTTAATGGCTAGGCACTCTGCAATTTGCAGGCCCCTCTTCTAGAGTTGCGTGCTATGGGGAAATGTTGCATGGTGCTGCAGCACCAGGCCAGAAAATTAACGTAAACTAAATATACAAAATTGTGTTGGGTTTGAATAATATTACTAGGATTATTCGGTTCCTACATAGTAAGCGACTGACACCCGCTGGACCCTGCCCATTGAGGATTGATTGATCTGTATTGATTTTCATATGGATATAAATGTAGATCTCCATGTAGATTGTCGAGTGAAGATGCACAAGTCCAGGAGTGGAATCGATTTTTCTGCCCTTGCATAAATAAAACCATTTTTTTTATGCAGTTTTTTTTTATATTTTGAATGCTCAATTCACTTTACTAACTTAAACATATGCAACTAGCTCATTTAGATGTGCTGATGATTTCCGAGCAGCGCCAGCAGTGGAGACTGCACGTCCGGCAGCATTCGCATATCGATCGGTGGGTCCGAGAGCTCGGAGCAGGGCGAGCAGCCACAGTTGGCGGGCACCTCGTGCTGCAAGGGAGAGGGAATGTGAAAGTGATTTCCAGGCAGTCGAATCAATGTATAGAGATGGACCCACCCTTTGGCTGTACGTGTGACCGTCTTGGCAGACCATTTTCACTGAGATCGCTTGGTAGGACTTGATGCTGCAGCAAGTGCAGAACTTCTCGTGCATGTCGGTGAGGCTGTTGTACTTGGATCCGGACGAGCAGGCGCCCTGGCAGTCGGTAAAGCCCTTAATAGGTTCGGCATTGACACAGACCCCATGACCGGGCTTGGGGAACTTGAGGATTTCCTTGGTCTGTGACTCGGCCAAGGACACGGGCAAACAAGTGGCTAAAAGTCACGAGGAATAGGTAATAATCTGGGTACCGAATGTATGCATGTCTACTCACATTTGTCTTCCGGCTTCGGCTCCAGTTTGCAGCGCTTACAGCAGCCATTCTGGTACAGGAGATGGGACAGACAGTCGGTCACAACCGGACAGATCTCCTGCGAGGATGTGACCATCAGCTGGCCATCCTTCTTCAGGCAGCTGTAGTGCGTGCAGTTATCCGCCGATTTCCACAGATCATTGACTGCGTACAACTTCTGCTCGAACACACAGGCGGTTTGGATGCATTTTCCACAGCACTTGCTCTTATCCAGGCTCTGATAGCTGAAGCCAGGAGCACAGTCCGTCGAGCACATCTCCAGAGTGCTGAGCACCTGTGCATTGCCATCGGGGCCATACGAACAGGTCTCGCGCTTGCACACATCCTTGGCATGAGTCCACTTCTCGCCCACCTGCTTGGTGAACTTTGATGAGTCCTCCAGCTCGTACTGGACAATGCACAGATTCTTCGGCGGCACTAAAAGTGAGAATAAATTTGTTATTTAATTTTAAACCTTTCCCATTTCGTTTCTGTACTTACCACAGGAGTGGGTGGAACAGCACTCATCGATTTCCTTTGTGGTCTTCACTTCGTAGAATCGCTCTGGACAACTGATGGGCGCCTTGGGACACAGCTCTGTCTGGCAGATGATCTTCTGAGTGGGGCAGCAACCCTCCTCAATCTTGACTAGCTTCTCGCCGGGCATCAGCTCCCGCGGCGGCTTCAGCACCTCACACTCTTCCTTTGGTTTGCATTCTACAGCAGATAAAGATAAATATGGGTTAGGGAACCTCGGGGCAAGCACAAGCGAGATCCCAACTCACCGCAAATGTATTGAGGACAGCCATTGACGTCGTTCTTCTGCTTCTTAAACTGTCCCGGACCGCAGACAGGCATCATAGGCGCCAGACACAGTTTGGCAGGATCCTTGGGCTCTGGCACACATCGGTATCTGGGGCAGCACTCCTCCTTGGTGACAATTATCTGCGGCTTGTAGTCCTCGGCGCAGATGTTCTCCTCCACCTGGCACTTCTTCTGCACACACGACGTTTTGCCGTTCTCATCGCACTGGCAGTCGGTGCACTTGTCCTTTGGCCACTTCTCGCCCGGCAAATGCAAGCCATCGTCGCACTTTGAGCAGGCTATCTCCGGCACACACTTGCCGGCGTCCATCACCTGGCCGGGGGGACAGAAGCAGCCCTCGAAGCGCTCCGAGCTGATGCACATCTCATCGCTCTTCACCGTCCGGATGACCGTCTGGCTCTTCAGACTTACTGCATCGTACTCTGACATGGCCTTAACGGTGTCGCAGGTCTTGGCACAGCCACAGGGCTCGTACACCATGTCGCTGGGACACTCATAGGGACACAGATGCGGCCTTCGCCACGTGGTGCAGATGCCGTGCTGGTTGCACTCCTTGGCATAAGCAGCCAGAGCCACACAGACTCCCTGCTGGGTGTTGCCCGGCTTGCAGATATCCTGCTGGCACGCGGAGACGTACGCAATGGGATCGACGACCAGCGGACACTTGCCGAACAGCTCGGCATTGTAGAACTGCAGGCAGGGATCCTTCTCCGGCGGCAGCGGGATGCACTGCTCCTTGGGCACATCCTCGCTGAGACACTCTTGGGCGTCGGTGAGTCCTAGCTTGGGCTCGTCCGCCTGCCAGCTCTGGATGGCATCCACGCCCGGCTTCTTCTTGGCCGGATTGGGCTGCAAGTCATTGGCCGGGCTCCCGTTACAGTCCCCGCAGAGGCCCTCCATCTTGCTGCCGTACTTGATGCTGGGCACGCCCAACGAGAAGATCAAATCCTCGAACGAGGCGGTTAGTTCCACATGCGACTCGGGCAGGGATAGCACGAGCTCCTTGCCCACCACCTGGCGCAGCGAGATCCAGCTGTCCTTGTAGGGCATCCGCTTCACCTCGAACCCATCGACCAACACCTGAAGGGATTTCGGCTGCAGCGGCACTCGCTGTACGTGGATCACATGATCCCCGTTGAGAATGTGCAGCGACTTGGCGCAGCTGCCACCGTCCACGGGACTGCTCTGTCCCAGCTTCTTGCAATCGTCCATGCTGACGTACACCTGGAATGTGTGGACTCCGGGCAGGACGACGTCGCGCGACAGCAGATAGGTGCAGTTGCCGTTGAAGCTGAAGCTCTTGCGATCGTAGGTCATGTAGTTGGAGGCTCCGATGGCATTGCACACACAGTCCTTGCACTCGGAGATGGGCACGCAGTTGGGGCCCTTCCGCACGGTGCCCTCCGGACAGTAGCAGCCCGGGAAGCAGGTGTCGGGCAGCACAGGGCAGTCATCGCCATGGATGTTGTCGCACGACGGCTCGCAGCGTCGCTTGTAGCAGTCCGTGTGCACCAGAGGCGCCGGGCAGCTGATCTCGCACTGAGACACCGCCCTCCAAGTGGGCAGCTGCACCAGCGGATTCACACTGAGGCACTTCTTGACGAAACTCTCCAGAATTTTGCACTTGCAGGCGGCCGGATCCCCGTTGTTGGCCATCATGCAGTCGCAGGCGGCCTCGAGGCAGTAGTTGTTCAGGAACTGCTTGTAGTTCACGGCCTTGTGGCAGCGGGCAAGGGTGGGATGGCTGTGGATGGAGGAGCATCGATACAGTAACGATGGAGCAGGAGCAGGATCAACCACAGCACTCACTGAATGATGTTGCACTGCTGCAGCGCCTTGGCCTGCATCTCCCTGGAGCACTTCAGATCCCCGCACTGTTCCTTGGGCACTCGCTTGTCGTACCAGCTGTCGCCGAAGCTCTCCGTGTTAGCAATGATTTTTCCCTCTGGCGAACGCTTGTCATCCCTGGGATTTCCATTGTAATAGCCGCAGAGGCCGTCCACAGTGCGTATGAACTTGGAGGAGATGCCCACCTTGACGATGCCAATGTCATCGAGTTGTATCCAGAAGCCGTATTTGGTCGAAACAGCCAGAAGGGTCTTGCCCGGCTGGCTGACCACAAAGGAGGCCTTGCAGATGGGCGAGTTGATGAGCTGCTGCACCGTGAACTCGAAGCCATTGAACTTGAGCTTCAAGTGGGGCAGCAGGACCAGCTCATTGCCCGCTTGTATGTCCTGGATGGTGATCACCTTGTGGCAGATCTTGCGCGACTCGTCGGTGCACTGCTGATGAACTGTACAAGCGTGGATTCATGTTTAAAGTATTCCCAAATCAGTGACTGATCAAATCCTACCCGATATGGACCAGCTGCCGTTGTGTATGTCCCTGGCCAGAATGTGGCTGCATGGCCCGTACTTGAACAGGGTACCATCGAAGGTGGTGAAGCTCTTGCCGCTAATCTCGCACACATCGTCTTTGTTGGGCCTGAGGACGCAGGTGTACTTCAGGCAGTCGCCCGCCTTCGCCGTGCTCATGTCCAGCTCCACATCGTACTTCTCCGGGCACTTGGGCTCCGAGCAGGTGACAGTTTCGTTCTTGTCCACCACCTTGGTGGCTATGGGCACACAGGTGAACTCGTTGCACTGCTCCTCCAGCTGGAAGTCCAGCTCTTGGGTGGGCATCGACAGCATTTGTTCCGAGGAGGATATGAACTTCGTCTTGGTGATGGTCTCGCCGTCGTCCACAATCGACACCTGCTTGGAGAAGGTAAACATCTTTGACATCTTGCGCGCCTTCTTCTCGATGATTTTGATCTTCATTTGCGGAGGACAAGCGGGCGCTGGACAGGTGATGATCTCGGCTGAAAGGATAATGCGTGAATACAGAGATATTCTGTCTGTTTTTAGGTTAGATACACACTCTCATTCTTCACCCGAATGGGTTCGCGCGGAACAGTGAACGAATCTGTGCAACTGGCGTCCTCATCGTCCGCACAATCATGTACACCATTGCACCAGAGCACCTCTGGGATGCAGTCTCCACTGGAAGGACACAATCTCTGCTGCTTGGGGCAGGGCTCGCACTTGCAGAAGCAATCGCTGGTGATCACCGGTCGCAGTTTGGCATCCGGACAGGGCGCACACTTCTTGGGCTTGCAGTTCTTGTGCCCGCCGAGCACACAGACACAGTCCTCGCAGGCGGAGTTCTCGAACTTGTTGCCAATCGGATAGCTGACGTAGTTCTCCACACAGGGGCACAGATTGTGCTGCACGCAATTGTTGCCATCCCAGTAGAGAGCCGGCTGGCTGTGGCATGGGCAGTTGCTGGCTCTGAACTGGGGTCCTGCAATGCCAGCGCAAATGTTGCACTTGCTGGGTGCGCTATTGTCCACCGTCACTTGACGCTCGATCTCAGCTAGGAATTGAGAAAGTTCATTAGAACACGATACACATAGAGGCAGACTTTGAGTGGCGGCTTACGATAGGGCTTGAAGCATCCCAGGGGCTCGATGCGCATGTTAATGTTCCTCTCCCACTTGGCCGGCACCACCTTGAGGAACTGCGCGAGTATGAGCGGCTTAAAGTGATGTCTGCGCTCGGTTTCCCCATCCACATTGGCCTCAAAGATGCGCGGCTGTCCGCTTGGCGAGAGCACCGTGTTCCAGATGGGCTTCTTCTTGGAGAAGAGCACCTTGTAGCCGGTCACCCAGCCATCGGGGCCGCCCTTGGTCACAAAACCAGAGATATTTCGAGGCTCCAGGAAATCAAACTCCACGTATTCATTCGGGGTATTGGACAGAGGGCGCCAGGACAGGGGCGTCGATAGCTTTAGTAGATCCAACAGTGCCGGCTTCTTGGCCGGCTTAGGCAGCTGCCAAACGCTGCTCGATTGCACCTGATCTGCGTACATTTTTCCGTCATCCACGCCCATCTCATCGATGCATTCCGTTTCCTGGAAATGCGCTGGATGCTCCGTGCTGGTTGGCGTGATGGAAGTGGTGGGCTTGGGTTCCTCCTTGTCACCGCAAATCAGCAGCTCCACACGCATGGCAATCGAGCCGTGCCATTTCAGGGGATAAATGCGCAACGAGCTCGCTTCAATGGGCACCTTAAAGTAGGTCTGAACCGGAGCCCGAGAGTCCAGGGGGCCATTGAACATCTGCGGCTTTTCCGTCTCGTCCACCAGATAGTGATAGGCTATGCCGTCATGGCTGTGCAGGATCTGTGAGTAGAGTACAATGGGTCAGAGAAACAGTTGAGAATGAAGAGTGGAGAGTGTTGGTGCGGTTTGGGGTGGGGGGAACTCACCTTAAAGAGCGTCACATAGTTGTCAAAGTCGGGACTGCCCGCCATGACCACTCCATAGAAGGGCTCTGGCCGGCCGAAATTCAGCTCGAGATACTGCATTTGGTCGTTGATGTTGGGTGACCAGCTGCCCTGTGGCTGATTTTTGGTGAGACGAGCCTTGGCCGGGCCGTGTTCTGGTGCCAGCTGGGAGCTGGCATTGAAGATGCTGTCGGGCAGGGAGCGAGGGCCATTCTCGATCTTCGGCACGAGCCTAAAAGCGAAGGAACGTTGAGAACAAATAAAGATTGAGTAGCTGTCTAGCGCCTACCGATCCGAAGCGCAGTGCAGTGGTGGGGTAAGGGTTACGGGTAAAATGGGCACCAGAGGTTCCAGCTCAGGCACTCCCTCTGAAAGTAAAAGATCAAATAATCAAATTAAATAAATAGTGAAATGAATGCACAGAATTACTCACCTATTGGAGTGATGGGATCCGGCTTATTGGGCACACAGGTGAAGGCATTGTCGATGCACTGGCAGACTTCAAACTCCCCAAGGACGGGCTTGTGGGGCTGGACATAGTGCTCGGCCTTGTCCATGCAGGGGCACTCGTCGGCATGCACACAGGTGTCCTCATCCCGCCAGTACTTGCCCAGCGTGTGGCAGTCCGGCCGCAGTTTGTCCACGCAGCCAGACTTGCAGTGCTCACCGGGCTGGCAGAGGCCGCGCTTGCGCAGGATGCTGCCGTAGTAGTGGCACGTGTGCTCGCACTGATTGGCACAGTCCGTCCAAACCTTGCCCTCGGGACAATGTTGGAGGGGCTCCAATTCCGGCTCCGGCTTGGGCTTCTTGCCACAGCTGGGCTTCAGCTCCTGGACAGTGGCGATGTGGTCGCAGATGAACATCGTGGGATTGAACATCATGTACTCGCCGCAGGTCTGCTCCACGTAGATCCAGCCTCCCTCCACTCCCTTGGGCTGGCAGTGCAGAAACTTGTGGCAGTCGCCAGGGAAGTCTTTGTACTCCACCACACCAGCATCGCAGGCCAGCCCTATTTGGGGCCGCTCAGTGGGCTTGGGGGCGGGCGGCAGTGGCTCCTGGTCGCACTGGCAGAAGGCGCGCAGCTCGTAGTCGTGGCACTTGCCAGTGCACCGCAGACCCTCCTCTAGGTTGCAGACCACGTTCTCATCCATCTGCTCGGGCGCCTCGTGGCTGTCCTTCACCCGACACTCGACCTTCGTCATGAACTGCTTCAAGCAGGTGCCGTAGACGTTCTCCAGGCGATCGTAGCGCGGCACCTTCTCCTCGTCGTTCAGCCGCACACTCTTGTCCGAGGCGTCCTTGTCCTTGTCGCACCATCTCGTCCAGCCCTTGACGCACTTGGTCTGATTCTGCGTGGCCATTGGCATTGTCTCGGTGGTTCCCTCCACGACTGGAGCGGGCGTGCTGGGCGTGGGCAGGTTGCACTTGACGCCGCTGCAGATCTCCTTGCGCTTGGAGCAGCGACAGGTGGCACAGGAATCCGTGTAGGTGATGTCGCCCTCGTAGTAGGTCTTTCCGTCCCGCACCATGCACACGGGCTTGCACTCGGCCTTGGGCACGCACTCGCGGTAGGTGTCGTTCAAGTAGATGAAGCCATCGTCGCACGGTTTGATGTGGCACCCCTCGAGGCAGTTCTCCCTGTTGCACATGCGCTCCGCGATGCCCTGATCCAGGAAGTTGTCACATGTCTCCACAGCGCAGGCCGGCGTGCAGGACTTGTAGTCCGAGCAGTGGGGATCGCATTGCATGGCTGAAACGTCGAGAAACGAATATAGATTTATCTAAAATGGGTGAGAGGAATCCTGCAGTACTCACGACAGAAATGCTGCGAACGCCAGCGTATATTGATGCCCTTCTGGGCACAGGCATCCGCATAGGCAGCCATCGCCGTGCACAAACACTCGCAGTCGCCGCCCTGATCGCAGGCGCACGTATCGAAGATGCAGCGTTTCCAATACAGCTCCAGTGGCACCTCCGCGTGGCACTGCGCGAACAGCTCCGACTTAAGAGCACCGCACTTGAGCTGGGCCCAGGTTTCGCGCTCCGGATGCGCCTTGCAGGCATCGATGGGGGCCACCGGGGCGGAGCAATGCGGCTGCAGCTTCCAGGCATGTCCGAAGAGCATGGGACTGGTCTCCAGGCCCAACGACGGTGTCTGCATGTCGTCCAGTCCGTTGCCATTGTAGTTGCCACACAGTCCGCTGACCTTGTGGCGCCACTCGTTTCCCAGTTTCACATAGACTCGTGTTCCCTCGTCCCATTTGACCTGCAGCTTGAGGGGAATCACCTCCACGACCACGAATACTCCCGCCTTGTAGATGTGGAACGCATTGTGTCCCTTGGAGTTGACGCTGTCTCGGAGCTCTGGATGGAAGGATACGATAGGATTATTAGAGTTGCAAAGGGGCATTGATCCTTGACTCACTCTTGATGGGCGACTTGTTCGGATCAGTGCTGTAGGCGGAATCTGCGCTGAGGACCAACGACTCCTGGGCATGGCCAGTAAGGGAAATCTCCAGAGACTTGGAGCAGGTCACACCCATAGTGCCGCAAAGGACATTCTGTATGGTTATGCTGAAGCCATCACCATTATCGAAGACGCCCTTGGCGAGGACGTAGTCGCAGGCTCCCTGGAAGTCAAAGTCATGGCCATCGAAGGTGGTGAAGTGCGAATCGCCCCACACACTGCAGGTGGACTCGCAGCCGTTATCTGAGCACTTCCAGTTGCCCGCCTGACACACGCACAGGTTACAATCCTCCTTGATCTTCTCCCCGTCGTCGTAGCTCTTGCCGGCATGGTGGCACGAGCAGTTGGTGGGCAGCACACAGGACAGGCGGGAGGTGTCATACACATACCCCTCCATGCAGACACAGCCGGGCAGGCACTCTGTGGAATCCGCCACATACTTGTCCATATTTTTGCAGGTCTTCGGCTCTTTGGGGGCGCACTTTGTGAACTCGGCGAACGGCTGCTTGGAGCACTTGGAGCGCAGCTCAGACGAGGGCGGATACTTGTCCTTGTCGCCCGGCTCGGCATCCTGACAATCCCAGACACCGTCCTGGCAGGTGCACAGATCGAGGAACTTCTCCCCGGGGCGCACCTCTTTGTAGCCCGACCGGAAGGTCATGCCATCGAAGCTGCACTGGCACTTGTGCTTGGGCACACACTCGCCCTGGTCGTTGATGTACTCCCCGTGCGGACAGCGGCAGCCCTCGACGCACTCCCGATTGCAGCTCCCCTTGCTGGGCAGATCATCGCATGTGAGGGCACATCCATCGCCGCACTCGTCGAAGATCTGACCCATCGGACACTTCACAGCTGCGGGGCAGGATGGGGATGGGTTAAAGGCTGGAGTAGCTTTTGGTTGATTACTCCGCACTTACCACACTCCTTAACCGTCATTCGCCAGCCCGTCTTGACACCCTCCCGCATGCACTCTGTGCCATAGGCGGACAGGATGGGGCAGAAGCACTTGGCCAGCTCGTCCTTGCAGGCGCACGTGTCGTACAGGCAGTCCTCGTAGAACTTCTCCGGCTCCACCATGAAGTGGCAGTCCTGGAAGATGTCCTGCAGCAACCAGTCGCAGTGCTTCTCCGCCTGTTCCTTCCGCTCCGGATTAAGCGTGCACGGATGCGGACCCTGGTGTGTCTCCGCCTTGAACTGGCACGTGTCCTTGGTGCGCCACTTGTCTGCAAACGGCTCAATGGCGGTCTCCACATCGCCCTCGGGCGTCAGGAAATCGTCCTGCGTATTGGAGTTGAAGGTGCCGCACAGGCCCTGTGTCTGGCCCCGCCAGCTCGGCGGGGCGTCGATATATACACGCGACACGCCGTCCCACCAGACGCGAATGCCGTCGGCGAATTCGACGGTCAGGAAAGTGGAGCTGGCCCTGCGGATCAGCACCTCGCCCCGTCCCAGCATCTTGGGCAGCTTGGCAATGGGCTTGTCATTGATGAGGGTGGTCAGCCCCTGGTCCAGTTTGACAACCGAGGGCGTGCCATCCCGAAGGACGAAGCGAATGGTCACCGACTTGGTGCAGGACGGATCATCGGGCGCGGCATAGTTCATGGCCTCCGAGACGGCGCCCGAGCAGGCCACATTCTCCGCCTCCACCGACATGTTCGGCGTCTTCAGCAAATGGTACGAGCACTTGCCCATGAAGTCGTATCGCCTCCCATCGAAGGTCTGGTAATGCGGATCACCGATGGCCCCGCACCGCGATCCACATTTGTCGTCCGTGCATCGCCACTGGCCGTTCTTGCAGGTGCAGGTGTTGCAGTTCTTCTTTACCGTCGACTCCGGCTTGAACTCCTTGCCGCGCAGCGTGCAGGGACACAGCTCGCGCGTGATGCACGCATCCTTGTACTGCACCGTGCCCTCGGGACAGTAGCAGCCCTCGTTGCAGGTCTCTCTGCTGGGTGACAGTGCGACGTCCGAGTCGCAGGTGGGCTCCACATTGGGACCGCAGGCTTGATAGACCCGTCCAAAGCCGCAGCTGATGGCTGAAATTATACGCGGAGACATCTCCAGTAAGGAACTGTTCGAAATCGCATCTATGCTCCACACTTACGACAAATCTCCAGATTGCGCCAGCCATGCTCCAGCTTGATGCCCTTGAAGCCGCACTCCTTGGCCAGCATGGCAATGGCGTCGCAATTGCAGCTCTCCGGATGCTCGCGATTGGCGCAGTTGCAATAGTCGGCCATGCAGGTGCGTATAAGAGCCTCGTGGTTGAAGGGTTTGATGCAGTCGCCCAGCTTTTCGTTGGCCAGGAGGCGCTCACAGACTGACACTGCCTTCTGCAGCTTGCTCTGTTCGCAGGACTCCATGCCAAAGTCCAGCTCGGCGCTGTTCTCCACGAGGCACATCTCACTGTGATCCTGGACGCGCCAGGCATCGGCGAACGCCTTGACAGTCTCCAGTTTCTTGCCCGTGCGGGAGACAAAGTCGGTGTGCGGATCGCCATCGAGGGAGCCGCACAGACCACCCACTTTGCCCCACATCTGGGGTCCGGCCTGCACGGAGACATACTGATGGTGGTCCCAGTCGAGCTTGAGGCCAACCGACTCCAGATCGATCTGCACATGCTGTGCAACGGGCATCACCTTCATGCCCATCACTTGGACGGACATGGGCAGCTTCTTGATGGGCGTGGACAGCTGAATGGTTCCATCTAAAAGAAGATATCTATGTGAAGAATATTTCATCCATCAACGACAGTATCCTTACTCAAATTCTCAAAGGTGTAGAGCACGGACTGCCACAGAACCTTCAGTGTGTGGGCGCAACCATAGCCGGAACCATAGGGACACGCCTTCAGAATTATGTCAAAGGTTGCCGACACTTTGTCCGTGATCAGCGTGTGCGAGCAAGACAGAGGAGCCCTGCGGGGAAGCAACATACAACATATGTATTTGTTATCCGGATGAGTCACCGTCTCGTCTCATCCAAAATGAACTCACTTGAACACCAGGCCATCAAAGGTTTTCATATTAATGCCACCCCAAGTGGTGCAGAGAGCGGGTCGCGGGGTCTTGTCTATAACCACATCCAACTCGCTGCTCTGGTACAAGGAATACCTGCCCGGGGTAACAACAGTCTCCTCCGATGACCACCATTCCTGCACATACATACATACATATATCAGAATATCAACGAATATCCATGCAGAGCCTATAGACATTTAACATACGCTTTTTCGCTCCATATCCATGTACTTGGCAAATATGGCTAGTAGCTGCTCCCGCTCGGATCGTATTTCATAGGCCGTCTCACCGCTATAACCGCCATGATAGACGCGTCCAGCCTGCTGCTCCTCCCTTGAGGATGTTTTGGTGCGGATGGTGTAGCCAGGAGCTGTGGATATTTAAAACTCATTTGAAAACTTAAAAACTTTTGCACTTTCCACGTGGATTCTAATCAGCTGTGAGTGTTGGAAAACATCAAACATCAACACCAATAGGATAAGCATAGGGGGCCTAGTGGTGGCAAAAAGCTGCGTCCTAATCGGAATATTCGATTATTTGTGCACATTACAACTACCACCACTAAATAGCAGCGAAAACAGCATGGAAGGTACATTTTCAATTGTCATTCACTTGATACTCACGAAATATGCACTTGGGAAGCGGTGAGGGAAGGTACTGGCCCTGCTGATAGTTGCACTTGTATTCAATGTCCAAGCGTCCTTGGACTTTTAGACCGGGCACCTGGGGACAGGTGAAGGTGCACCGTGCCTCCTCCATCTCATAGGCGCACTTGTAGTTGCCATTGAAGTTTGTGTTGGTCACATTGCAGCTGGCGATGTCTGCAAGGAAGCAAAGCACTCAGTGATTGGCAGAACTGATGGGAAAGGGACTGCTTGGAGACTTACTATATTGACAGTGGGCACCGCGGAACATCTTGGAGCACTGGCAAACATTGAAGCTGATGCACTGACCGCCATTCTCGCAGCCAGGCGCACAAGTGGCTGAAGGGAGCGGAATAAGACAGAGAATGATAAGGATAATGGGATTTACTTACGGCCACAGTCGGGGGGCTTGGACAGCCCAGTCTTTGTGTGTACCCACTGGCCATCGCGGCATTCAATGTTGGTTATTCCACTGCCGTCGGGGAACTTGAATCCCCGCATACATTCCGCATGGCAAACACTGAAAAGAAGATGAGAACACATCGAGCACACCTTTTTGCGACAATCCCATCAGAACTCACTTGTTCATGCAGGAGACCTTAGAGTTCTTTGGGGCCTTGGGAAACGAGGCGCACACGGACTTCTTCGTCTGGCAGGCGGGTCCGTAATAGTTTTCCGGACACTGACAGACGCCCGTTGAGAGACAGATGCCATTGTTCTGACAGGCCGGCTGGCACCGGGCGTGGCAGGGTGGCACTACGGAGAATATGGAGTTGCCAATGATCCAGCCATCGTTGCTGCAGAACATCTCCAGGACTAGGATGTCCTGGCCGAAGCTATATCCAGCTGGACAAGAGACCTTACAGCGACCATTGTGGCACTCGGATTGCACGTTCGGCGGCAGCTCCAGAGCGGCACACTTTCCGTGGGCAGCCAGAGACTGTCCGACGTGACCGTAAAAGTTTCCTTGGTTTCTGTGCAAAAGTTTTCATGATTACGGATCAGGATCATCGACGATGTGGGTGGTGATCCACCTACTTACCCCTTGCCAAAAACTCCAAGCAGTTTGTTCGCAAATAGCCCTCTGAGGCAGGAGTGCACATTAAAGGATATTCAAAGAGCCCAGAGGTGTTTCCACTTACCCGTACCCTGCGCCACTGGCCGATGTCTTGATGCCACCACCACCGTATCCTGGTCCTACTCCTCCAGCAGATCCGGCGTAACTGTACCGGGCGCTATAATTGTTATATAATTAGCTCCTTATCTAGCTTCCTTCCGACTTATCCATACCTCACTGGGGGTGCATTCCGAAACGAGAAGCTTATGTGGCGCTCATCGCGGCCGACTTCGTTATCGACGGCATCCGGTACGGCCTGGACGAGGGGGCTAAATTTGCGAATATTCCAGATAAACATTAAAACTAAGCGCAATTTCAGTGCGACTTAAAAATATCTGGCATTGACATAAAACAAGATAAGCGAACGTTCTTGAAACGGATTTAAGAGTCAGGCACTCAAGGACATGTGTGGCTGTCCAAGAAGGACAAATCCAAAGGATTCAGAGCTCAAAAGTTTTGCATAATTTTTCCCTTTCGTTCGCAGTTCTTGTATATCTGCTCCAGCTCCTCCAATAAACTGATAGTTCACTCACTTTATATCCTCGTCATCCTCATCGTTCATCACTAGATCCCCTTCCTCGGCCCACACATGGCCGATTAGGAGCAGCCACACGGACAAATAAATCACTTTCCTTGCCATTCTGGCAGGATTATTCAGTACGCAGTTTCAGCTTTCGTAGAACTGAAATCGACACTGGGTATCCGTTATCCTTTCGAGTATCAACACTGGTAATCCATTATTTCCAGGACACTGCGACTGTTCAAGCGTATGTCCTTCAAGTCCTTGGGACTATTTCTCACTTGTACACACTGATTCACTCGACACTTTTGTAGATTTCCACGTAACTTGAAGACTTTCAGGCAACTGCGCGATCGCGACTGATGATGCCATTGGTTGGGGAGCGCCTTTTATAGGCCCGATGGCCACGCCAATCTCCATTCTGATGGAGGGGAAGGCTTATCAAAGAGCTTGGGATTTGTAGGGTCGGTGCCACCACTTTATACGGATTCTGGAATGCGCAAAAACAAATTCACTTTTCTTCAGCTTATCGACTCGGTGACTCGGGGCTATCCAAAATATGCCAAGTTGAGGCAGAGGCTGAGACCAATGCCTGGTTGATAATGCCACTTCCCGTTGCCTATGTCATAAGTATACCACCACCACAGACTGAAAGCTTTGCCAAGTCGAGGGAGCCGCAATCGGTTGTTACGTCGCCATTCCATTTATCAGGCATGCGAAACATATGAATGGAGTACGTACTATTACGCAAAAACTACCATTGAACTTGAACAGTTTTGCGAGAAGAGATTAAACTACAACCCGCCCTTGCCAGCATTTTTATTGTAAGTATATTTGATATCTGAACAGGCCCCCAGCGAATAACAAATAACAAAGCTTAGAAGCAGCCCGTCGCCGAATCAAGGAATATATAGAATATGTACCTTCAGAAAGTTTGGCTGGCTATGGCTGCCATTACGGATATCAGAGTAAGCCACTGGACTAATGGTAGCAGCGTGGACTGGAGCTCGGTATCGGGCAAGCTTTGTCTGTTCACTGTCACACACCGCATCCTGTAACCTGTAATTGTAATGCTCCGAATGCGTCCGTATGGCCAGTCAGCGTATATACGGTGTATATATATGTGTCTGGTGGTGCAACAGCTTATGAATTTTCTATAAAGTTTTACATTTAAATGAACAGTACTTATTTGTATATTTCATTTAAATTCGATTTTACAATTTTTAAAATAAATAATTATCGATTATTAATAACAGCAAAATAACGATTTGAAGCTAAAAGACGCTAGATGGCGCGGCTCCATTCTGTTGCAACAAAAAGTCACCAGAGGCGCGGCAAATTTAGGCACTTACAACCAAGCGACGCTAGGTGGTGCGGTCACAATTTCCATAAACAACGAATATATAATTTATATTTGCTGATCATTCTTGAAAATTTGGCAATAAACAAAGATTAGGATTATTTGGAGCCCAGAGGCCATCAAAATGCTGTTGCGTCGGCAATCAAATAACGAGCGACATGTACGTACTCCAACCCAGCGAGCCAATAGTATAATAATTAAAGATGATCGTTTATTTAAATTTTGAGGTGCTCCTCGTGATCATGCTCATAGTGTTGCACTGTCCTCGCACTCATTACGGAGAAGCATTCATTGTCTTGCTTTTCAGACAAGGATTATCACAGACCGTTGGAGGTGATGGATTATGTATTCTATTGTTGTCTAGGTTTAGTGGGAAAAAATGGAATATTCCAAGGTGCGAATGCTATTCCACATATGGTTGAACGTCGTGTTGCTGTCGCATAGCCTCAGACTCGGCTCCCACGGCGCAGGCCAGCAGAGAGTTGACAGTCTGCTCCTCTCCTGCCTTATACACATATCCGTTCGCCTTATCGATGTGATTGCGTAGTCGCAGCATGCTGTCCGTGCTGAAGGCGTCCAGCAGCTGGAAGGAGACCAGGGCATAGTCCTCCACCATGGAGCAGATGGCCTCGTTGAGCTTCTGGTACTTGCGCATAGTGGGGTCGTCGTCCAGTTTCTCCAGCAGATACTTCAGATCCAGCACGTCCGTGTAGTAGTCCACATTGAAGTGCAGCTTGGACTCGTGCTTCCGCAACAGATCCGCCTTGGACAGGACATTCACATGCGGCAGGCTCATTCTCATCATGGTGTTCAGCGCCATCAGCAAGGTGGCAATGAACTTGGCCGGCTCCGAACAGTAGTGCGAGTCGATGAGATTCACTGTGACCAGACTGTAACGCTCCCGCTCCAGGCGCTCGAACACCAGCGCCATGGCATTGTGATGCGTGTACAACTCAATCTGTCCGGGGCAGTCGAACAGGAAGTAATTGTGGGTGGCGCTGAGCTTGCGCAGTGCCGGCAGCAGCCAATCCTCAATGTGCTGCTGCAGGTACTCGGCGCAGTGCATCAGGGCTCCGTTGGGCCCCAGCTGCAGGTGCTCCATACAATCCTCTACGGTTATCAGCTCCATGACATTGATGACCGGCTCGTACGACATGTTGTCATTCGCGGGATCCAAATTGACGACGCCAACCTGGCGGCCCAGCTCGCGGTAGAACTTGTAGGCCTCGTTACAGTAGGTTGTCTTGCCGGAGCCCGGCGGACCTATTATCAGCTGCCCATAGCGAGGATTCTCCACTTTTGCTTGCGTTTGGAAACGTTGCAACATTACTTGGCGTTTTCTTTTACACAAAAAGCAAACTCTGACTATACATTTTCTTTTAAATTATGTTAAATCACACTTTCGACAGCGAATTCAAAGGGAAAATAAAATATAAAATTTTTGATACTGAAAATGTTAGAGGGCACTATCGATAGTAGCGATATTTTACAGCTACTCTACTACTTTTACTCTACTATAGATGGTTTTTGCGATAGTTTTGATAGTTGATATTCCTCGATTTTGATATTCCGTTTAATATTACTAGCTAGCTGGGACACTCAGCCCAAAAAAAATAGTTTTATCCGATAGATACATAAATTTTCTACAAGATTGGCAAGTTTCCAGAAGTCCTTTTTATTGCATTGTTTCCATAAAAAGGTTCAAACAAAAATGGCCAAAGCATAAATCGTAAATGTTGACTAAATGTGACGTCAGTGTTGCTGGTCAACAAAGTTTCTTCTAAGCGTATGGACTTTTGTATACCTTACTTCTTTTAATTAATGTTAAATGTTTTGTTCCAAGCTCCATTGAAACATTATTTATGATTTTATTCTAGATTAACATGTTTTTTACCCATTTTGAAAAATCATCACGAATTGAGAGCGAAAAATGTCAGTATTTTTTGTGCGCTAAATGGAGTTTGGCGGTCATTTTGAAAAGTATCTTAATGTATTAAAAAATAAATATTTGACTTGATTTGTTTTGTCGGTGCTGTTCGGTGTGACTGGAACCTCAGAAATATACCAAAATATAACTTGTCATTTTAAAAACGAACTTAACCCACCAAACCCCGTTCTACTTAAACAATCAAAATATTACTGTTTTTAAATTCTCCTTGTATAATCATTCTTTACTTTACTTACAAAGATATTTACCACGATATATTTTAACTTAAAAAGGGAAGTTTCTACACTCAATGTTTACCTAACCATTAACCATTCCACCGCCCAAATGGTAGAAAACGGTTAAATTCAAATCTGAGATACCAGGCGCACAGAAATCAGCAGAAGGTCGCTGCTTTTTTTAAATTCTCGTTTTTTCTTGTTTCTCTTTGTATTTCGTTTCAATCTCTTTTCGCTCTTCTTTTTCTTATTTTCTGCTTCCACTTTCCACCGCTCAAATGGCAGAAAACCGTTAAATTCTAATCTGAGATACCAGGCGCACAGAAATCAGCAGAAGGTCGCTGGTTTTTTTAAATTCTCGTTTTTTCTTGTTTCTCTTTGTATTTCGTTGCTCTCTCTTTTCGCTCTTCTTTTTCTCATTTTCTGCTTCCACTTTCCACCGCTCAAATGGCAGAAAACGGTTAAATTAAAATCTGAGATACCAGGCGCACAGAAATCAGCAGAAGGTCGCTGCTTTTTTTTAATTATCGTTTTTTCTTGTTTCTCTTTGTATTTCGTTGCTCTCTCTTTTCGCTCTTCTTTTTCTCATTTTCTGCCTCCACTTTCCACCGCTCAAATGTTAGAAAACCGTTAAATTCAAATCTGAGATACCAGGCGCACAGAAATCAGCAGAAGGTCGCTGGTTTTTTTAAATTATCGTTTTTTCTTGTCTCTCTTTGTATTTCGTTGCTCTCTCTTTTCGCTCTTCTTTTTCTCATATTCTGCCTCCACTTTCCACCGCTCAAATGGCAGAAAACCGTTAAATTCAAATCTGAGATATCAGGCGCGCAGAAATCAGCAGAAGGTCGCTGCTTTTTTTAAATTATCGTTTTTTCTTGTTTCTCTTTGTATTTCGTTGCTCTCTCTTTTCGCTCTTCTTTTTCTCATTTTCTGCTTCCACTTTCCACCGTTCAAATGGCAGAAAACGGTTAAATTCAAATCTGAGATACCAGGCGCACAGAAATCAGCAGAAGGTCGCTGCTTTGTTTAAATTCTCGTTTTTTCTGGTTTCTCTTTGTATTTCGTGGTTCTCTCTTTTCGCTCTTCTTTTTCTCATTTTCTGCTTCCACTTTCCACCGCTCAAATGGCAGAAAACGGTTAATTTCAAATCTGAGATACCAGGCGCACAGAAATCAGCAGAAGGTCGCTGCTTTTTTTAAATTCTCGTTTTTTCTTGTTTCTCTTTGTATTTCATTGTTCTCTCTTTTCGCTCTTCTTTTTCTCATTTTCAGCTTCCACTTTCCACCGCTCAAATGGCAGAAAACGGCTAAATTCAAATCTGAGATACCAGGCGCATAGAAATCAGCAGAAGGTCGCTGCTTTTTTGAAATTCTCGTTTTTTCTTGTTTCTCTTTGTATTTCGTTGTTCTTTCTTTTCGCTCTTCTTTTTCTCATTTTCTGCTTCCACTTTCCACCGCTCAAATGGCAGAAAACGGTTAAATTCAAATCTGAGATACCAGGCGCACAGAAATCAGCAGAAGGTCGCTGCTTTTTTTAAATTCTCGTTTTTTCTTGTTTCTCTTTGTATTTCGTTCTTCTCTCTTTTCGCTCTTCTTTTTCTCATTTTCTGCTTCCACTTTCCACCGCTCAAATGGCAGAAAACGGTTAAATTCAAATTCGAGATACCAGGCGCACAGAAATCAGCAGAAGGTCGCTGCTTTTTTTAAATTCTCGTTTTTTCTTGTTTCTCTTTGTATTTCGTTGCTCTCTCTTTTCGCTCTTCTTTTTCTCATTTTCTGCTTCCACTTTCCAACGCTCAAATGGCACAAAACGGTTAAATTCAAATCTGAGATACCAGGCGCACAGAAATCAGCAGAAGGTCGCTGCTTTTTTTAAATTCTCGTTTTTTCTTGTTTCTCTTTGTATTTCGTTGCTCTCTCTTTTCGCTCTTCTTTTTCTCATTTTCTGCTTCCACTTTCCACCGCTCAAATGGCAGAAAACGGTTAAATTCAAATCTGAGATACCAGGCGCACAGAAATCAGCAGAAGGTCGCTGCTTTTTTTAAATTCTCGTTTTTTCTTGTTTCTCTTTGTATTTCGTTGCTCTCTCTTTTCGCTCTTCTTTTTCTCATTTTCTGCTTCCACTTTCCACTGCTCAAATGGCAGAAAACGGATAAATTCAAATCTGAGATACCAGGCGCACAGAAATCAGCAGAAGGTCGCTGCTTTTTTTTAATTCTCGTTTTTTCTTGTTTCTCTTTGTATTTCGTTGTTCTTTCTTTTCGCTCTTCTTTTTCTCATTTTCTGCTTCCACTTTCCACCGCTCAAATGGCAGAAAACGGTTAAATTAAAATCTGAGATACCAGGCGCACAGAAATCAGCAGAAGGTCGCTTCTTTAATTAAATTTTCGTTTTTTCTTGTTTCTCTTTGTATTTCGTTGCTCTCTCTTTTCGCTCTTCTTTTTCTCATGTTCTGCTTCCACTTTCCACCGCTCAAATGGCAGAAAACGGTTAAATTCAAATCTGAGATACCAGGCGCACAGAAATCAGCAGAAGGTCGCTGCTTTTTTTTAATTCTCGATTTTTCTTGTTTCTCTTTGTATTTCGTTGCTGTCTCTTTTCGCTCTTCTTTTTCTCATTTTCTGCTTCCACTTTCCACCGCTCAAATGGCAGAAAACGGTTAAATTCAAATCTGAGATACCAGGCGCACAGAAATCAGCAGAAGGTCGCTGCTTTTTTTAAATTCTCGTTTTTTCTGGTTTCTCTTTGTATTTCGTTGCTCTCTCTTTTCGCTCTTGTTTTTCTCATTTTCTGCTTCCACTTTCCAACGCTCAAATGGCAGAAAACGGTTAAATTCAAATCTGAGATACCAGGCGCACAGAAAGCAGCAGAAGGTCGCTGCTTTGTTTAAATTCTCGTTTTTTCTTGTTTCTCTTTGTATTTCGTTGTTCTCTCTTTTCGCTCTTCTTTTTCACATTTTCTGCTTCCACTTTCCACCGCTCAAATGGCAGAAAACGGTTAAATTCAAATCTGAGATACCAGGCGCACAGAAATCAGCAGAAGGTCGCTGCTTTTTTTAAATTCTCGTTTTTTCTTGTTTCTCTTTGAATTTCGTTCTTCTCTCTTTTCGCTCTTCTTTTTCTCATTTTCTGCTTCCACTTTCCACCGCTCAAATGGCAGAAAACGGTTAAATTCAAATTCGAGATACCAGGCGCACAGAAATCAGCAGAAGGTCGCTGCTTTTTTTAAATTCTCGATTTTTCTTGTTTCTCTTTGTATTTCGTTTCTCTCTCTTTTCGCTCTTCTTTTTCTCATTTTTTGCTTCCACTTTCCAACGCTCAAATGGCAGAAAACGGTTAAATTCAAATTTGAGATACCAGGCGCACAGAAATCAGCAGAAGGTCGCTGCTTTTTTTAAATTCTCGTTTTTTCTTGTTTCTCTTTGTATTTCGTTGCTCTCTCTTTTCGCTCTTCTTTTTCTCATTTTCTGCTTCCACTTTCCACCGCTCAAATGGCAGAAAACGGTTAAATTCAAATCTGAGATACCAGGCGCACAGAAATCAGCAGAAGGTCGCTGCTTTTTTTAAATTCTCGTTTTTTCTTGTTTCTCTTTGTATTTCGTTCTTCTCTCTTTTCGCTCTTCTTTTTCTCATTTTCTGCTTCCACTTTCCACCGCTCAAATGGCAGAAAACGGTTAAATTCAAATTCGAGATACCAGGCGCACAGAAATCAGCAGAAGGTCGCTGCTTTTTTTAAATTCTCGATTTTTCTGGTTTCTCTTTGTATTTCGTTGCTCTCTCTTTTCGCTCTTCTTTTTCTCATTTTTTGCTTCCACTTTCCACCGCTCAAATGGCAGAAAACGGTTAAATTCAAATCTGAGATACCAGGCGCACAGAAATCAGCAGAAGGTCGCTGCTTTTTTTAATTTCTCGGTTTTTCTTGTTTCTCTTTGTATTTCGTTGCTCTCTCTTTTTCGCTCTTTTTTTTCTCATTTTCTGCTTCCACTTTCCACCGCTCAAATGGCAGAAAACGGTTAAATTCAAATCTGAGATACCAGGCGCACAGAAATCAGCAGAAGGTCGCTGCTTTTTTTAAATTCTCGTTTTTTTCTTGTTTCTCTTTGTATTTCGTTGCTCTCTCTTTTCGCTCTTTTTTTTCTCATTTTCTGCTTCCACTTTCCACCGCTCAAATGGCAGAAAACGGTTAAATTCAAATCTGAGATACCAGGCGCACAGAAATCAGCAGAAGGTCGCTGCTTTTTTTAAATTCTCGATTTTTCTTGTTTCTCTTTGTATT